TTCTCTTGCGGTTGGTTATTTTAAGAAGTGAGTGCCTGATTCTTAAAGAAGTTACAATGTTTGTAATGGTCTCTCAGTTTTAGGCAGATGCAAAAGACCCAAACTAGTTATTTTCTATCTATGAAGAGCCAATGACAAAACTACTGTGTTTTACCAAGACTTCATACAACTAATTTGAATTTTCTCCCCAAGTATTTGTTCCAAATTAAGAATGTATGTGTTTGGTGTATGACATATATGATGGAATCTGGGGCTATGTTAGTAATAGAGGCTTTTGTGAGAAAATAAACTGACTTAAAAGAAAAATTACTAATGCAGGAAAGAAACAAACATGTTAATGATTCTTCAGGACCCAGATGGAGAAAAAACACAAATTCCTGCCTTGCTTCCCCATTGAAAATGAGAAGAATAATAAGATTGTTAATCTCATTAATCAAAAAAGGATAAGATTGAGTGTAGATAAATCAAATCAAAGCATGTATTTGTAGAAAATGAGGCATGAATTCCTCACTTTAGAATAATGCTAACTTCTGCAACAATTTCCTACCGAGTGTTAGAAGAAATCTCAGATTGTTAAATCTGAATTAGCAACAGAATGGTACTTGTTAAATTAAAAAAAAAAAAAGAAGAGGAAAGGAAAAATGACTGAAACTAAACACAAGGCACACAGCAATCCTCAAGTTCATTCCTTTAAAGAAAAAAAGAGACAAAATAAACAAACTTTCTTTTATATTGGTTGTTGTTGTTGTTATGTGCATCAAGTCGCTTGCAACTCATAGCGACCCTATGTACAACAGCCTTAAACCCTGCTCTATCCTGCGCCAATCTCAGTCTCTGACACACCCATCCCAATTACCCCAGTCACTGAATCAATCCACCTCATAGAGGGGCCTTCCCCTCCTGTGCTGTCCCTCCACCTTACCAAGCATGATGTCCCTCTCCAAGGACCAGTCCCTCCTTACAACATATCCAAAGTATGTTAGACGGAGCCTCAGAATCCTTGCCTCCAATGAGCCGCCCAGTTTAACCCTTTCCAGGATGAATCTGTTTGTTTTCCTAGCAATCCATGGTACCCTCAATACTCTTCTCCAGCACCACAGCTCAAAGGCATCAGTTCTCCTTCTATGCTCTTAGTCAATGTCCAACTCACTGATGTATAACAAGTGATTGCAAAGACTACAGCCTGTATCAGACAAACCTTAGTCTTTAGAAAGGCACCATTGCTCTTCAGTACTTTGGAGAGGTCCCTAACAGCAGACTTTCCCATGGCAATACGTATTTTAATTTCCTGGATGCTGGTGCTGAGAGTGTTGACTGTGGAGCCAAGCAAACTAAAGCTGTGAACAATCTCAATCTCTTCACCAACCATCCTGATGCTGCCAATTGGCCCAGTGGTTAGCATACAAAATTTGTACACATTGTGCTTCGTACTTTCTTTAATTCACATTGTGCTTTATATAATCATTCCCATACATTGTATTTTATAATTAATCACCATTGAACTGTGCCCACTATTACCTTAACTCATGGTGACCCCATATGTCACCGAGAAAAATATCATTGCATTTTTCAGTGGTTAGTTTGTCTTAAGAAGTTATGAAACTTTTCTTTTGAAATCTCTGTAGATGGACTCAAACTTCTAAGTCTTGATTTAGTAGCTGATCATATTAACCAATTGTACTACTCAGTGATTTCATACCTTAAATCCAAATTGACATAGGTCCACAGGTTCCAAATGACAATGACCCTTCATGAGGTTTCCCAGAATAAATCTTTAGAGGGTGACACTGCTCTCTTTCTCTCATAGAGAAACTCATGGATTTTAACCAGTAAAGTTTTGGTTAGCAGCTACATTATACCACCAGGCCTCCTTGAGTTAAAGACAGCTCCAAACTCACAGCCTTCAAGTTGGTCTCAACTCCTCTCTGACCGTCTATCAGATTTCTAAATTTATAACTCAAAAGGAAGGAGGCTGCTCTTCCAGGGAAGGGGATAGATAACTGAGATTTTCAGATGAGATGGAGATATATATCATGTTTGTTATTTGTATGCTTTAAACTGAGTTATAGTTAAGATTAGTTTGGAATTTGCTGTACATTTTATTTTTAATGTCACTTGAAAGAAAATAAAAAAGTTTGGAGGCATATGTGTGAAGTGGTTGGATTCTAGAAAGTGGGATCTCTTGCTTTGCTGAGGATCAGTTGTAGACTGGTTGTTTAGTGTTGTATGGGTTTTTTGGTGGTGTTGGTTTGTGGTTTGTTTTTTTTTTTCACAATTAGGTGTGAGCTGATTGAATTTGCAGAATTCAGCTAACAATGATCTGTTGGCTGGTGAGTGGGTCTTGTATTTAAAAGGTGATTGTGCCTGAGATATTTCACTCAGCATCATGTCACAAAGGGACAAATGCTATATGGTGTCACTGTTGTAGAATGAGGCTGATATCAGGGTGGGGGTAAGACTGAGAAAAACTGGATAAATTATGTTTACTGCATTGAAGTCTATGGGGGAGAGACTAGTTTAAAAGTATTTTAGGGCATTATGTTTATCATAAGAGTATG